AAGCTAGACGAGAAGGGGGATATTTGTTGCTGCGAGGGGCTTGTGCCAACAAGAAGGTCTGGTAGCGTACCAGATTCGGGGGTGATTGAAGGTAACTATCCCGGTGTGCCGTTACCCCCCGTTTAAAATTCTGCTTCAAGAGGGAGTTGGCGCATGTACTGGCAGTGCTCCAGTCAGTGACAGTGTTCAGCTTCAGTTTTGATGAGCTTTATGGAGCCTGCCGTTTTTTACAACCGGTCCAGGCTTGGTACCGGTGCTGCTGTCCCCGCGGCGCAGGTTCCTTCTCACTCCAGCCTCTCATTCCCTCCAAAAAAAAACCTCATACTTCATACATGTAATGAGCCGCCAGATATAGACATAGCTGATACGGATAAGCAACCTGTCCAGAGCCCGATTAACGATGAACTTCGCAATGGTTAGTGGTCGTCCTATAGGAGATTTGTATTTGTACCCCTAATCGTTCCCTAGCACTCAACGACAGTGTGATTCTTCCTCTTCCTCACCTTCATCCTCTTGTCTCAACTCAACTTCCAATTGGGGGTCTTAACTCAGACAGCGCACCAGCCACAAGCGGTAAAGAAGAAGCATTGGAATCTAGGCAACAGGACAACCATGAACGCAAGTTCCTTAAGAAAGCAGCTTTATGGGTTCGTGGGTTTTTGCTCACCATCAGAGATGAGGCACTTAGAAGTCAGCCCTCTTCTCTAGGGCGTCGCGTCCCAACTGGAAGGCCCTAGCTTCATTGTGGAGGTAACAAAGATGAGCAGCCACAAGCTCTGTACTCTGGAGAAAATATCTCAACTGCACTGGCCAATGCCTTCCTTGAATCCGAGCCTCCAAACTCGGAAAGTTACCTTTTTATCCACATAGCGTCCCTGGTTTTTTTTTTCTCCCACGGAATTTTTCCCAAACATAACGAGAATCTACCAAGCTTAATCACCTCGCACATTGGACGCGCAACGTACAACTTCCCTCCCTCCGTGCTGCTTAGCATATCTCCCCAGTAAGGATGTTGGGTGTTTACCTTCAGATTGCTGTCTTAGACTCTATGCAATAGCTGTATTGGAAGAAATCCATTTCAGGAGGAGCTTTGATATTCTATATTTGAAATCTAAAATCGGGGGTTAGTGTGGAATATCTAAAATTGGAGGTTCGGGATAAATGTTTCTTGATTTTAGTCAGCTCTAGACTCTAGCAATCATCCTCGGAGAGTATCTTCCAGGTCTTTTTTTATTGTTTAGATCAATTGAGGGCTATTGTTTTCCAATGGCCAGGGTATCGTGTTCTATGGGAATCTTCGGCCTGTCTTCCAATGGGTGTCTGTGCGACTCATGTCAGTGTAATTCACACAACCCCATATCTCGACGCCTCCATATGCATCGTTCCAGAGTGCCTCTGTAACACAGATCTCCCGGGTATCTAGGTAGTCTGTGTGCATCCCTCAAGGTTGCCTCAAGAGTTTTGGCCAAGGTCGAGTTCGGACAAATATAGTACGAAGCTTTGAGAATGAAGAGTCTATGCCTAGGTTATCCGGGCATACATGATGTTAGTTGCCGTCCTGCAGTGGGTGCAAGGCAGTCAATACTGTTGTAGCCTCGTGCCTCTATACCGTCCGTTTGTCTTTTCGGTCTAGAGCTGATTGGCTTCCTGTATTCGTCAGTACAATACCGATATGTAAGACCCTGCGTACCTCTTATTCCAACCGCCGGGCCTGATTATTCCACCATAATCCTGGCTCCTTTCTCGTGGGAAAGCTAGGGGAATGCTAATTAGCTGCCAAACACATAGAGCAGTAGGGTATTGCGCATATGTAGCCTGGTATCTCTACTGCGACTCGCCGAAAGTCCAGAAGTCTATGTGTAGTGGGCTTCGAAGGGAGTTAATCCGTTGGCCGAGGCAGGTAATGAAGTGGAATTCGATGGCTTTGAGAGTAAGAACGTGCGAGATAATAAATCAGACACTTCACTTTGAGTTCAGTACTTAGCTCAGAACTCTAGTAGACCATCATTATCTTAAAGCTAAACTCGGAGAGTTAAACATACTGACTCAATTCGGCCAACCGGCGACGGGTCAGAGAGCCAATCCGTAGACGAGAAGAGACAACAAAGAGAGTGAGGATAAAAAAAAAAAAAAATAACATAAATAAAATTACAACGTCCCCACTTCTATAGGTTCATCAGCAAGGGGTGCATATACTTTCCCGGAAATGAGCCTCAAGCCCTCTTTGTCCACTTGGCCACTAACAATAGGAAGTGAGGTATAATCCAACTTTCAAGGCTGTGGAAAAAGATCCACTGAACATAGTTTCTAACAATTCCAAAGACGAGGCTAGTACATTGCGTATCAGCAGCTGCATCTCAGCCGAGCAGGTTCTGGGCAGTCCTTTGTATAGAACGTCGGTTCTTAATTCCAACTGCGTAGCTGTTGCCTTTTGGTCCATGTCATCCTTTTTGGCCTTAATGATACAGACCCATTTTGCGCCGCGCTGCAGCACAATTTCGAAGTGGCCATTTAGGTGAATGGAGTTGCCTGGTACTGATTCTTCTGGAGAGCTAAGACTTTTATGTCGTTGAATTAGTCGCTTATGTGCACAATTATCGGAGTAATAAAGCATAGTATTTTGGGCTCATTTCCGGTGATGGTGTGCCCGAACCGTTTACACAAGTACTGATGGATACTGTATATGTTCCTACAACGGATACAAGAGTATCTAGTATCCCCATTAGTGGTAGTCTTGCTGAAACATATAGCATAAGTATACCCGATTTTTTTTTTAATACTCATTACTCATATTCGGTCCCAATGGGGGGACCATGATTGAGTGTGTCCAGGAGGTTACTCGCTTGGGGTTCCGCTGGGAAGGGGGTGTGCTTGGTATTGGGGGCTGACACTGTGAACTTGCGAAGTTGGCGAGGGTGGCGTAGATGGCGAGAGATAGTGACAGATGGAGGGGCATGGGGGACATAGGGGAGAGAAGACGGATTGTGGGGGGGGGGAAATAGGGGAGGTGGAGGAGTCTCAAGGCACGACTGCTCATTGGAAGTAGAGTTGTAAAGTTGTAGTTGATTAGTTGATTTGTAGGTTGTAGAGTTGTGGAGTTGTAGGGTTGAGAATTGTAGAGGTTCTAAGTTCTATAGAGTTGTAGGGTTGTGGAGTTGTAAAGCTGTACGCTCCAGACGACCTAATGGCGTAGTGGTAAATTGACCTCGCTAGTTACGTATGTGTGAAACGGATTCCATTGCAATATCGTTGCGGTTAGTGTAACCAGACTACGTTGCGGTATATATCTGTATATATGCTACGTACGATACGATACGATACGATACGATACGATACGATACGATATGAAACTGAGCCGACTACTTTTAGCATTTTGTAATTGATCAAACTCATCCATATCCATCTTTTGATTGTCCAAGATTTTTGTTGGGGGTGTATGAAATACCATATATAGACTTATATTGCTTGATATGTGTTCAAATTCCTAATAATAATCTTCAGTCCTCATATTGACAGCAACCTTTCTAGCCGCTTACTTTTATAGTGCCTGTGCTGATAGTTATACTTACCATTAAGACCCTCCTGTCGAAATCCCTTCCGGGAGGTTCCCGTATATGAAACCATTCTGGCCCGCTTACAATACAGGCAGCACTGTCACTCTCTTTATCTCATCATCTGCTGGTATAGGTAAACAGAGCCGGAGTCAGTATAGGGCAATAAAGGTGTTTGTATCACATAATCTGTTATCGATCCGAACCATATATAATGATTCGTAATTCTTTAAGTTTGCTTCAGACCTCTGGCGAGGGGTAGTGCAACCAGACTACCAGAGCGCAGGGGCGGAGACCAACAAAACAATCTCCCGGTTCATATGGTAGCCAACCAACCAACCAACCATCCCAGGCATACAGCACCCCCGATACCATGATCCTTGCTGCACATTCCAATCCGATACAATGAGCGATATGTTCCAGCCACTTCCCGGTCTCAGACCTACTCCGGCACCATCTGAGTCGAAAAGGTTGGTTTGGAAGAATTGTTTACGGGATTATACCGGAGCTTATCTGAATATTAGGGGTTAGGGACGGAAAAGGCAGAGGTACAGCCCCCATGGGGAGGGCCGATGTGTGCTCTCGAAAGGGAATTTGTTGTTCAGTGGTGGATGGGACCTGGTCCTGTATTGCTCCGGTAATTTTTTTGGTGGGAAAAATACCTGTGGACCTACTACTCGCTCTAGAGACCCTCCCGACTATCCTCGATCTTTACTGCCGATTCCATGGTGTTTTACTTTTCGATTTGGCTGGTTTGATTGGATGGAACGTGTTTGGGTGTTGCTCTCAGGGTAATTTGAGGAAAAAAATCACATACGTCCACCAAAGAAAAAAGCCAATTTCTTCTTCGCGCTCATTCTGGCCGCCCAAGGCCCCTCATCTCCCTGACACATCCATCAACCCACATCTTGTACGCATCCCCTACAATGTCATTCAAAGGTCTCTGTGTGCACCCTATTACCGCTTCATCTTTACCGCAGATCTGGGAGGCTTTACCCAAGAGAGCCATGTTCCCTCTTTTGCTCCCAATATGGGACACACTCCTGCCTAGCATTAAGAGGCTCGCCGACACGCGTGGTACCGACCTTGACGAAACCTCACATTTGGTTTCTGGGCCCGGATGCCTTGGCTTTAACTATTTCCAAATTACAATCAATCAATTTAGATACAGATATAAAGCTCTTCATCCACCAAACAGCACCTAGTCCTTGATTTCCTGGTCCGCTTCCGTATCCCAAATGAGCAGCATTGCAGATTCGTTAGCCGGCACCAGAGGGGAGGGGGTTAGAGCGGAACACTATATTTGTCTACCTGTGTTGAGATGCTTGTAGGGCAAACATTTTTCTCCAGTCTATTGACGACCAATATCCCAAATCTACAAAAATGTTTATCGCGTGCATCAGCAAGGGATTTATGTATTTCGTTGCTGATATGTAACCATAGAAAATCGGGCAAGTGGTCTAGGGGTATGATTTCTCATTCGCATCAAGGAAACTTGGACAACATTGAGAAGGTCCGGGGTTCAATTCCCCGCTTGTCCATTTCTTTTTTTGGTTACTGGTTACTTGGCACACCCTCAGTAGCTCGATATGGAGACTAGACAAAGTATGTAAATTTCTAATCCAATATTATAACCAAACAATCAGCGGAATATTAGTCGGGCGGCGGAATAAAGAACGAAAAAACGAGTCTCCTTTTAACCTTGTACATATATATCTTACCCCGCCCAACTCCTCCGAAGCCAAACCGGGCTGCGGTCCCCAGTTACTTCTGCCGCCTGAACGACATATCTTATCATCTTATCTGAATCGGAAACCAAAAGACTGTACGTACTCTATGTACCGCATACATTAGTGAATGACGCAAGCGTGAATTAGTAAAGTTCTACATACATACATATGCACATGCCTAATCCTAAATGCCTGAATCCTTATAATTGCATAATACTGATGCATTCATTTGCCGATTAGCCATATATGTTACATTACATAAACCCTAAGAGACATGTCAAACGAGGAGAAGTAACCTACAGCAAGTAAGAAGTATGTATGTATGTAAGTGCACCCCTGTAGGTACATATTTGGTGTTTAACTTTACAGAGTGATCCGATGAGTTGGGTATGCGGCGTTGGAGATTGTGATACGGCTGTGGACCTAACACCTATATACGTAATTTTAGCCGTACGGTACAATTCGTAAAGCGCATGTCTAAGCGGGGAGAATGCATGAAAATAAAATCTTGTAGGTGTAAGTAGAGTACAGTAAGGCATATGTCTCTTATCCCCCCCCCCGCCCCTTCCACTGAGCAAAAAAATTCCGTATCCACCCGTGGTTGGACAAAGGCCTCGTCTTTAACGATGGACAAGGTTATCAGGGAACTTTGCTCCCATGCATGCATGCATACTTGCTTGCTTTGGTATGTATCAGCAGCAATATAAATCCCCCCCCCCCCCAGCAAACCAGTCCAGCGGGTCGTGGGAAGTACGTACTCTACATGCATACATATTTAGAAATGTCGATGACAATCTCGATTGCTCGCTTGATGAAACAGTGCTCTGGAATTTCATGATTATAGGTATGTAAATGATTGAGATCAATGCGGGGAGGGCTTGATGGGTACCTACCTACCTAGACTACCTATCTTAGTTGAACCCCCCTGAGAGGCCGGGGCGCGGTATTAGCCTCGTACCCAGTAATTGTGGGAAGACAGGGGAGGGAGGGAGGGAGGGAGGGAGTTCTTAGTTCTTTACGTATATACAATACAGTACGTTGTTTTCGCAAGCAAAGCAACATGTAACGGCCACTGGAGCGGGGGAACCTTTCTTGTTTTTAGTTATGTAACATAAAAGAAAAAGTCCTCTCTTTTCTTCCTTCATGATCCGGAAAACCAAATGAAGTTTTTTACATTACTCTTTTTGCATGAAAAAAAAATAAAAATAAAAAATAAAATTCTTCCTACGCTAACAACATACATACCTACCGTATTTTCTGGTTTTTTATGACCCGGCGCTACTGCATACAAATCCAACGTTCTTGTCCGCACGAGCACTTCGATAGGTCTAGTTGAGTGAAAATCACACCTCTTCACGTTAGATCTTGCTAGCTCTCATAAAGAACCAGAAAATACGGTACCTACTTAATTCTAAGTGAACTCTTAATCTCCTTTACGTGGCTTGTGGCAAGGGTGTCACACAAGTTGAGGGACCGGCCTCTCAGCTCCGACCGTAAGTAAGTACCTACCTACATATCACCCTCAAGGCGCTCCCTAGCGGAATAACCCAGCTTCATTTAACGCTGCAGGTAGGAGGTCTAGACCTTGTAAACCCCCCAACCGGGTATTATCTTCTAACCAGTTGCATACCCTAACATTCTCACGAGGTGGGTTCCTAACTGCCGGGAATAAACTATAAGATCTACTTCCGGCATCTAAATTTGTTTTCCCCCCCCCTTTTGACGTATACCGTACGCGCCACATACATAGGTATGTATATACACACATTGTGCGTAAAATTTTTCCCCCGTCTGGATAGTTATACCTGCTATGGGACGATCAGCATACCACCAGTACGCGTCCCATGTTTGGCCGTCAGATAGGGAGCTGGTATCCGTATGTGTATCTGTATCGTATGTTACCACCGGTGTAAACTGAGATATCCCATGTCTTTGCCACAGTGTTTTGTAAACCGAAATGAATTTTCGTATGTTGTATGGGTGGGTGGGGCTGGGGCAAGGGAGGTTCCCAGTACAGGTCGAATGCTGCACCGCCTCGATGAGGGGATTGTAGCTCTGTAGGTCGATTAGTGTAGTACTTGCGAAAAAAGTTTGAAGTTTGAAATAATAAAAATAATAAAAATAATAATAATAATAATAATAAAAACAGAATTTGAACATTTTTGTGCGTGTCAGAAACGCTTCGATCCTAGTCTACTGTAGGTAGCTGATTATAAACCCCTGAAGCTGGTTCAGTTGTTTATTCTGAAAGCCGTACAACGAAGAAAACTATAGATGTTTAATAAGTTCAGCTGCTACCTATTGCAATTTGCATTGAATGGTTCTACTATGGCCTGGGGTTTGGGACAGAGGATGTATGTATGTATGTACCTCGATCTGATAACGTCAATAACGAAAAATGTTAATGCTAGAGCAAATATTCCCAAGCTGAGAATTACACTCTCGTAAAGATACCAATACATTACTCCATCTCCTTTTGCATCCGCATCTGCCGAATACCTAACTCAGGTTGTAGTGTATGTACTTCCGCTACCGTTCATTCCATGCCGAACACTCTCTATCTCGACCGTTACCTTTGCATACAATATGTATGCTCCATCATACATACATATTACCTTTACCTTTCTGAATAGAAACTGCAAAGTAGATACCTACAGTATACATATCCATATAGATAAGGAAATATATCATGCAATTGATAAAACTGAAACATACATACATACATACAGTGCATAGGGGAAAGTCTTTACGCAACTCCCCCCTTCCCCTATTTTTATGCATCAATCAGCGGGCTGGCGCTGCAGGGGGGGGGCGCAAGGACTCCCCCAAACGCACGGTACGTACATACGTAGACACATACTTACATTCATATACATTGATATACGTATCCCTATCTATGTACCTCCTTTCGACTCTACTTTGACTCTACATGTGCGGCAAGGATAAGCGATATGTTAGAACTATCATGCATACAGTACATAGGAACCGTACACTACTGTACATATGTACTTAGGACTTCAATCCCACGTTCCCAAATCTCCAAATTGAAAATCTCAATTTCATGTATCATTATCATTAATATCACCTCTATATCGGCTACTCCTTAGGTACGGGGTATGGTACATATACAGCATACAGTACATATACACGTATCTATATTCATGTATCTCCGGTGGTTACATTTAATTTTAACATACTGTACATACTTACATATGTAGGTACTCTAAATTACCGTACATATCTATTAACACCCACCACCCACACCCCGCCACCCCGCCACCGGCTTCCGCACGTACTACTATTCTATTAACATAGAATACCTACACAGCGTAATGTTCCCCCTATTCCCCTAGTATTTCCCGATCACAAAGACGCATGATTGTACCATGTACATGTAACTACTTACTGTATTAGGTATGTTCCTGGTGCAAGAGATTCAAAGGGTTCAAACAACAGTCGGTTGCAGGGGACAAACCCCTGATTAGATATTTGTGCTGTAGGTACTAACTCCGTACATATACACTACATCCCTATAAGTCTAGCGCGAGTGTTACACTCGCTTAATTGGTATTGGTTACTGCAAGATGGGATGATTATTGGGATGGGTTGGGATGGGATGGGATGGGATGACAGCACTGATAGTCTGGTTGCGAATTTCAATACACTATGTAGGAGTATAATAATGACAATTCTTTTTGATTTCATACAACACATATCCCTAATAATATTTCTTTGTACAAAACGTACAAATGTAGAGTATACGTTCAGTACACGGACTAACTATAGTGACAGTAACACCAACCCAAAGCCCCAAACCCATCCATAAATCTATCCCACAGGACTCTTCGCCCGGCTACCCGATTGAGACCTTTCCCCATGGCTACCTCTATGAATCATAAAGCAAAAGAAAAAAGTAACCACGCAGAAACTAATACAAGTCCTCCGTTCCCGTACAGCGTCTGTCAAGGGGTAGGTAAGCGGTTACCGGGTACTGAAGGGGAAAAAAAAAAAATAAAGCTACGACACCCGCACCAATTCCTGCTGATTTCATTTCAGCAAGAAGAAAACCATGTGGAACACTAAAGAAAAACTTGGATCCGAGATTTTTTGCAGAGACTCCGACGGACGCCCTTTATCCAAACAACGTTCAACGAAAAAAATCAATAAACGCTAAACCTCATTTTACTGAAAATAGAAATAAGAAGCAAAAGATGATGACGCCGTGCTCGCTTGAAACAATTGTAATTCCTCGTCCTTCTCGTATTATTTGAACTATTTCAACCTCTAAGCCACCCATACAGCCTTGAATTGAATTGTGTGTAACTTTCAGAGGTGATATAGAGGCAATTGTCTAGTCCACTGGTCCATACTTGATGAATCTGATTCTGCAAGGAAAGGTTAGAATATGGCGAGCATGGATGGATTGGGCGGCGACTCTGCTTACATTCGCTTCATCAATGGCCGCTTTACATCTTCTACTGGCCTCCTATAGGCCGGGTATGTATATGTCTGCTCGATGGATTAATGTGATGTTTTTTTGGGGAGGGTATCTTTGTCTGGTTTTACTTACACTTGTGACATATGTGGTGCGTTTTCCGCTCACATGGATGGGGTGCTGGTATGTGTAAACCACCGGTGTCTGTGGCGGAGGCAGAGAAGCTGGGACACTGTTTCGGTTGCTCGAAGAGCTTGAATTAGATGATGAGGGCGGCGACATGGTGGATTGCTAGGCTGATATCGATTTGGGTTCAGTAGGCCTTGTTGTTACGATGTATGAAAGGCTGGGATTGCAATGGAAGCTTCAGTTATTG